CAGGCTCTTCTGCTCATGTGGAGAGCCTTATGTGATGCATTTTTAATCAAACTGTTTAAAGTGTGTATTTCGTTCTACCCTCACCAGCATGTGAAGCTGTCTGTCCTTGATTTATCCCTGTCTTTTTTCTTTGACAGCTCTGACTGTCCTGTTACTGAAATGCCCATTTCTTTCATCCTACTTTGGGTACTTTATTCTTGAGGATTTAGCCAGTCTGGTTGACTCCAGATTTCTCTGTAGTTTGTCTTTTCTGATGTTTCTCTTTCCAGTATATTTCACATGTGTTGGTGTTATTTTATCAGTTTTTAATTTTTGACACTTTTAAGAACTATAAAATGCAAAAAAGTATATAAATGTATGTGTGTATATGTATGTATATACACACACACACATACACACATATTTTTTTTCCAGTCTGAAAATAAGGGATTAGAAACCACCAAGAGCAATGTTGTTCAACAAGTTTCAGAAGAGGGAAGGAAATCTAAGTCCAAACCAGGTAAGTATGGAAGTAGTCTGTCCTTCTGTAGGTTTTTCTTTTAAGAATTTCAATATAGAATTTAAAGTAAATCCTGGGAGAATTAGTCCTGCTCAAGAGCTGAGTGGGCCGGACTCTTGCACAGCATGCGCAAAGCCCTAGGTTCAGTCTCCAGCACTACACAACCGTCCAAACAAGTGAAGGCCGACTGCAGACTTGGCTCCTGAGGATGGTGTCTCAAGTTTCTAGTGCTTAAACAAAGCCTAAATGGTGTTGTAATGGTTCTCATAGTCTCAATTTTTTCCACGTATTTAACATTAAAAGATGAATTTCACAGCTAAATTGCTGAACCAGGGTCTAACTTTCCTGTCTTACATGTTACAAAGTTTAGTGACATAAAGCATGTAATTTCTTGATTGGTTATATAATTTTTTCTGATTTTATAGATAAACAACTTATCCAGTACACTGCCTTTCCACTTCTTGCACTCCTTGACGGGAACCCAGCTGCTTCTGCTGTTGAGCAGGGGAGTGTGGCGGCAGCAGCAGAGGTTGCGCCCTCTGCAGATAGACCCATAGAAGTTGATGAGCTTCTGGATAGCAGCCTGGACCCAGAACCAACCCAGAGTAAACTTGTTCGCCTGGAGCCACTGACTGAGGCCGAAGCTAGTGAAGCCACACTCTTTTATTTATGTGAACTGGCTCCTGCACCTCTGGATACTGATATGCCACTTTTAGATAGTTAGACCCCAAGTGGACACTGTGTATATATTCATCAAAGTGATGAAGTATTTATTTTAAAGTATCATTTGGTACTCTGGTTTTGTAAATTACCTTTTGTTTAATCAGATACTGTGGAATAAAAGCACCTTTTGCTTTTCTCACTAACCACACTCTTGCAAAGCTTTCAGATGTTACTCCGCTGCCTAGGTATATAAATTTTAATGCACATTATTGGCATATCTTAAGTTGAATTCAAATGGCCATTTTCTCCAGTTGTAATTTGGATTTTTTTTACACAAATATGACCATTAATCCCAGTTAAATGTGTTTATTTTCAATTGGGTTTAAGTGTCTAGAACTGAAGTAGAAAACTCTGGTCCAGTTACTTTTATTAGAGATTTTTCACTTGGCTTATTTTTAAAACTGGGAACAAAAAGTGCCTGTATCTTGTAATATTTCATGTCTCTCTCTGTTCAGAGAAATTCTTTTATGTTCATGAAATATATTCATGCTAACAGACAAGGCAAAGTGTGCAAGAGTTATCAGCCAATCTGGAGTGCTTCTAGCTCTGCAGACACAGAATGTGGAGGTGGCTGCAGTCAGCACCGCCCGCGTAGACTAGTGAAGTACGTTTTCTGGTTTGTGTTCTTTTGACCATGTTATTTAGTAAAATAAATATGACAGATGTCGAGTACTAGTATTTGTTGAGTCGTCTTTGGCAGTGATGCCCATGTGAAATGATTTTCCTTCTCATAGGAAGGAGGCTTTAAACTGTATGTGTTGTCCATTTTATCACACTGTGAGTCACATCAAAATCTTTGTGTTTTACCTGAGAAGGTTCAAGCTTACTGTACATTGCAGTAAGGCAGGAAGGAATATGATGCTTCTGATCTTAATGTGCTTTAATGTTCTTTGTTTAAAAGTATACTGGCTTGCTTTCTATGTTTCTAATAAAGAGCGGAGAGAAAAATTCCTCTCATTGCTGTAAATAAGATGAGAACATTGCCACCAAATGCCGACATTTTTTGCAGTGTAAGAGAATCAAATGAATTTGTCCTTTTCAAGAATTGGAGAGGATTTAATACCACACTAACTTAAAACTTGGAGAAGTCTACATTCTGGCAGAGGCCTAAAAGCAATGCATTTAATTCCTAAGTACTATATACAATTATATAGTATTTAGAGAACACTTCCTTTGGCCATACTGTTCCTTGGGTATTGGAATTTTTCTTCCAAGTGGTAAATTAGAATTCTAATAAATTGACAGGAAAATTGTAGTCTAGCATCTCCTGTTCTTTTCTGACCTTCCTCCTGCCATCATCTACTCTACATTCCTTCACTGCCTTCATGCAGAGAAGTACACAGCTTTTAAGTATACATTCACCAAAGGAAGTGCCTGGGCTTTCGAAGTTGTCCTACAGGAGAGTCACCTGTACCTCCTGCATACTTGCTTTGTAGACTTATCACCTGATAAGTTACGTTCTGAGCTTTTGAGGTTGGTCTGTTTTTAGTATTCACTGAGACGAAAGAGTCCAAATTTTGTTAAGTTGTTAAAAAGATATTTTTTATTTTTCCCATAAATATATCTTTTACTGGGATAAACAGGACTCAAGATTTAATGACTGCTACTGAGCATCAGTTTTGGTTTTTTATTGATACAGCAAACATTAAATGAAGAAATTTTCTTACAGAAGTTATCAATTCTTTTAACATTTATAATTCTATGAGAATACAGCTAGTCATCAGGATATATTTGATTTTTCTGAAAGAAAAGCATCAAAAAGGTATAGACAGATGTGAAACTAGACAAGAAGTGAAAGTGAGCCTTGGTGCCATCCTCTACCCAAATCTGAGCCTGTCAGAAGAGCCCTATTTTTACTCCTGTGTAAAGGCCATGCACTTTTGAACAGCCCAGCAAATACAACAGGTAAGGTACAGGTTACAGTGTTCTTCCATGTGACTCCCAGTTGATAGAAACTTCTTGCAGTCAGCTCAGCTGGTTTTTGCTTCTTCCCAGGCAGCTGGGGCTTCTCTGATGGTCTTTGAGCTCGACCTCCTTTCTGTCTGAGGGCAATTTAGTTTTTACCAAGTGCATCTGGTCAGTTTCGGGAAATTCCTGGGCTGTTTTGAGTTGTTTTCCTTCCTGCTAAGGATGCAGTATTTTAATCTCAGAGGAAACTGTTACATAATGAGGAGTGTTGCTTTCCACCCCAGTTGTAGCCAGAAAATAGCCTTTGGTCTGGCCACAACTTCTTACATATATATGTGTATGATATTCTGACTAAAGGGATGAATGCGCCACAAAGGAAAAATAGGAAACTGATACATCAGTGGGTTCCAAAACAGTGATTACACTTGTTCTTATTAAAGGTTAATCTTAAACTGGCTTGATATATAGCATGTAAGCAGAAAGAGCACATGGTTTTAAATGCTTGTAAAGCTGGCCACGGGTTAAAGTTTAACTTGTAAAGGCAAGCTACTCCCATATCTTGTGATTGTTTTTTCACTGACCCAGACAGAATTTAAGAATTTCCTTACTAAATTTGTTCCCAATGCTTAGTCATTCACCCACCAAAAGACATCTTTAGTTTTGGCTGTTACAAGCTGTTGGAATGGTTATAGACCAGAGTTCGGTTCTCAGTACTAGTCAAGCAGTTCACAAAGCACTTAACTAGCTGCAGAAAATCCAATGCCCTTCTTTGGCCTTCTGTCTTGTCTGCGGCACCCCCTTCCCATCACACACCCACCACAGTTGTTTGCCTAAATACTCTAGTTTGGCAGCTCCTATAATTGGATGTGAAATGTCCCATGTTGACAGTGTGGTTCCCAGGATACTCCTGGGCAGTGATGGCAACTTCAGAAGGTGGGACCTTGTGGGCAGATCTTTGAAAATTATGTGACCTCATTCATTTTGAGGGGTGAAGAGTCCAGAATCTTGTTCTGCTATGGTTCTCACTGGTATAATAATTCCTTGGTACCCCGGAAGAAATGAGAACACTTGTGTACTGGAACCTTCAGACTTAATGAGCCAAAATAAACCTTTTTATAAATCCTCCAATTACTCCATTTAGTGATAGAAAGGTAATGGATAGGACTATTCTATCAGTACAGTTTTGTGCTAGGTAGTATTTATGCCAACTTCAAACAGGCTAGGGCTATTTGAGAATAGAACGCCTCAGTTGAGAAGATGCTCCAACTATACTGGCCAACAGGCAACCCTGATGGTCATTTTCTTAAATGGCCTTAATGGAGTGGCAAAATTCATTGAGGTGGTACCACTGCTGGGCAAGCGTTTCTGGGATAGTATAGGAAAGCAGGTAAACCAAGTCATAGGCAATGAGCCAGTGAGCAGCATTCCTCCATGGCCTGTGCATCAGTTCCTGCCCTGAAGTCCCTGGATGGGACTTCAACTGTAAGATGAAATAAACCTTTCTTCCCCAAGTGGCTTATGATCATGATGTTATATCACAGCAATAGAAATCCTGAGACAAATTGTATTGTTGGCTATATGAAAAACACTGACCACAACTTTAAAAAGAGATGGCTGGCGGAAGACATGAGGTGTGCAGTGTCCTCCAGACTGAACTGTCTACCTCCTGCAGGTTCTTTAGGGGTAAGAACACCATTTTTGAGAACCAACTTCAGGATTCATTTACAAACACAAAGAGGGTAATTTCAAAATAATTAATTTGTCAGAAGTCAAGGCAGAAAATGGATATTTGACAAGTTCTTTTCACAGAGGAAAAAAAATTGAGTTAAATCCACCTAAATTTGTAATGCTCAAGAACTAACACTACACATTTTCTCTGAATTCATTTATTTAAGAGAACACAGCCATTCAAAATTGTGAAATAGTATTAACTCAGAATAAGGTTGGGAAATGAAGATAAGTTGTTATATTACATTTGCACAATAAATATTTTTAAGGAAGCAAACACATATTTTAAAAGCTTTAGACACTAACACATAAATAACTAAGCATTTTTATCTAAATTAAGTGGACTACTGATTTTCAAGTTGAATATGTCAATATCATGGCAGTAAACAAACATTTTAAGCATGTCTAAATATGTAGTGTAATTTAAATGGTCTATTCTGCAAGTTCATTATCCTCCTGGTCTTTATGTTTGGATAAAAAAAAGCATGCTAGACAGCAGCAATACATATCGCACAAATTATCCACCATTATTTATAAAGCGAATTACAGATCTGGATCAGAGTGCTGGCTACTTTTTGTAGACTCCGTTTCCCAATGTTGCCATTAACTAACTTTTGAGTTAGTTGACTTTATTTTAAAATGAGAACTGGACTATGAAGTACCTAACCCAGAGCCTTACTGGGTTTCCTGTTTTGATTTGTAAACTTAATTTCAAAATTTTCTAACAATGATTAGTCTTTTCAAAAGCTTGTCTAAATGTTCAGAGTTGCTTACATCTCCATGAAATCCATAGTTTTGTGTTCATAAAGACCAAATAAAGTTCATTTTTTGGAGAAGGCCACCCTTTCCTACAGAGAAAGATCTTAGATCACACGAGTATTCACTTTAAAACACATGACCAGTGACTTTCTGTGAAGGCTCTTGTTACTTAGCCTTCCTCCACATCCTATACTGTTTTCCACTAAACAGAACATTCTGTACCGAAGTAAAATCCTGACAAAATTAAAGTGACTCGCATCTTTCAGACAACTAGCTTAGGACTTAGAATTTTAGAACAGCTATTTGCTTTGCAGTCCCCTGTAAGGCAACACATTAAGTATTTAAAAAGGCAGCCATACACTTAACGTTTCTAAAATAGCATAAGGTCTAACACAATTTTGAAACCAACTGTCAAGAATTTTTTTCGTATGTACAGAGCAGATGATATGCCTATCAATGTCCATCTTTCCTAATTTGCCAATGTATTAAAAATTCTCCCTTTGCAATTCATATCATCAGTACACTTAGCAAGAACATGGATAAAATGGCAGTAAATCTAATTCATGCAAGAGAAAAATAGTAAGTTACACAACAGCACATACAACTTTACAAAAATTGGGAATACTGTTAATGTCAAATAAACAATGACCAAAATGGGGCTTTCATGCCAGAAGTCCCACTCAGTCAAAATCCCGATTTGTAAGAACAAGTGGTGCCACCAGTGTCCAAACATATAGGACAATGCCAATCCAACTGGAGGAGATTTTCACCCAGACTGCTGTCCACTGACTCTTCATCTCACGAGAAGGCTCGTACCTAAAATTTGAGGAAAAATAGAAGTGACAGGTGGATTGTGTTAGTAAGCCATCAAGCTGGTAGGCCCCTTAATTCAAGCTTCCTTTGGAGTCTGATATCAGTGAGCAGGAGCTCATCCTGTTGCTATGCCTTCCATAATGCTGCAACAGATCTTTCACAGTTTTGAGGCACAGTATGTAATTCATACATGCTACTAAATAAAAGCAGAAGGGAACTCAGTAAGATGTGTCTATTCCGTCCAAGGGTGGGATGACTTCCTTCTCAATCCCACTTCCTTCCCCTTCTCAGATTTTGACAGGTGGGGAAGCCTGAAGTTAGCTGAGTTTTGTACACACACATACACTTTATGGGGTTTTTTGAGAGTTTCTCTGTGCAGCCTTGGCTGTCCTGGAACTCACTCTATATATAAGGCTGCCTCTCCAAGTGCTGGGATTAAAGGCATGTGACACCACCGCCTACGTTAGGTCTAATTTTTAACATTTACTATTATAAGCTATTAAATTTAGGAATTTTAGAAAATATTTATAATAAATGAGTAAATACTAGCCTCAAAAATATCCGAAAACCCTATTTTTTCTCCACCTTTTTCTGGTTTGTAAGTAATGATATGCTGTTTAAAGAAATGAATGAAAACTTAACGTCAAACATACTTGTCTAACCACATAGGTCAATGCCTACTTTGTGTAGAATCTTTTGGTAATCATTTGAGACAAAATCAGTTTAAACAGTTACTTTTATCAGTAAAGTATGAATTAATTTTGATGGGGATTAACAAAAAATTATAGTTAATAGCATGGTCTTCTTGTGAGACCAAGAAGGGGCTGACTGACTCTTGCTGGCTTTTAGGCACCCTTTCCTCCTATGGGGTTGCCTCATCTAACCTCAACAGGAGCAGAGGTAGCTAAGTCTTACTGCAACTTGATATGCCATAGTTGACTAATACTCATGGGAGATCTGCCCTTTTCTAAGGAGAAGGAGGAGGAGTGGACGGGGGAGAAGGGAGCAGAAGGGAGAGAGAGGGGGACCAGGGTAAGAGGAGGGGAAAAACTGATAGCAATGGAAAAAAATGTATATATAAAAAATTTCTGAAAGTCAACTCACATTAATATATTTGCATCAAGAAATTTCAGACATCTGTTTTTTAATTTTAACTTTTTGTTTTACGTGTTATATGATCACTTTGCCTCTATGCATGTCTGTGTATACAGTGTCCATGTCCAGACAAAGGTATCAGATCCACTGGAAATGGATAATTGTGAGGTACCCTATGGGAACTGCAAATGGAACCTGGGTCCTCTGGAAAAGCAGCCAGATGTTAACCAGAGTCATCTATCTCTCCAGCCCAACTTTTCAGATCTTTTAATGATACAGTTTAAAAAGAATCATCTTTTTAAAAACTATGCTGTTACTATAGTATAGTATGTTAGGAATAAATACAGTTAAATAAAAACTAAACAATATGTTAAACAACTGTTAACATGAATTTCTGTTAAAATATGCTTATGCCGTTTTCCATTTAAGGTTCTTCAACATTTGGAACAATTATGTTTGTGTAATTTTTAAAGAAGTCTGCAATTATCACACTCTCAGAATTCACTTTAACTACAGAAATACATCAGAGAACTAGAACGTACTTTAGAGATCAAGAAATGGCTGAGCAGGTAAAGAACTTGCCTTGTAAACATTAGGACTCAAGTCAGATCCCCAAAACTCACATTTTTAAAAAGCCAGGTCTGGTGCCACTCACTTGTAATTCTAGCACCAGAGAGGTAGAAATGGGAAAAAAAAAAAAAAATCAGTAGAATTTTCAGGCTAGTTAGTCTATTTAGTGTTCCAGAACAGTGGGAGAAAATTGTGTACAATGCCTCGAATACATGTGACTTCCATCTCTGACCTTCACACACCAGGTACACATGCACATACATACACACAAACATGCACACACACATACACACATACACACACACACATTTTACAATAGAGTCATGGAAAACACCACCAAAATAATCTGAAGTTACCATAAAATGTAAATACCTGTACCAGTTGGTAAGGGTCATCATGATATAAAGTGAGGCCAGGAAAAGCATGAAGTGAAAGAAGGAGTAACTGTAAGTGACACCATCCCTTTCATTATCTACAGCTCGGTGAACATCATCACCATCTTCTAGTGATCCATCACTTCTGGCATTCCCATCTTCTATTAATGTTGACTCATCACTCGTTAGAGTCAGTTTATTAACCTGACTATTGTTGGAGGTACGGATGCTGCATGAACAAAATCAGAAAGAAAAGTTTTGTTTTGTTTTCTTTTTTAACAAATGATTCTTTAAACTATATAAATCTTGTAAAAGTAGATTCATAGCCTGTCTTACCTGGAATAAAACACACACAGCAGGAAAAGAACCAGGCCTATAATCCCTTGAGGATGCCACCACTGAACAGACTGCCCATCCTTTGGAATAGGGCGAGTGGTATTGAAGCCAATGATGCTTAGTAGACTTGGATTGCAATTTGTTTCTATAAAGTACATTAAGGTCAAGTTAACTATTAGAGTAACAAAAAACAAAAACAAATAGAAACCTACAAAAGGGTTTAAAAAGGTACAAATTAACAAAATACTTAAACATAATTTGTATGTTTTAAGATAGAAAACTAAAATCACTTTTTCCAACCTTATCTAAGAGCCAAGGTATCTAGATCAACAAATGAGTAAAAGTTAGATAACCTAACTAAAATTAGTACATTCAGAAATACAATGCAAGCTCTTGTAATCACTTTACTATCTAACAAAACAGACCACAATTTTATAGTTGGAGGTGGGGGGGTTACCACAACATGAGGAACTCTTATTAAAGGGTTCCTGCATTAGGAAGTTTGAGAACCACTGCACCAAAGTATCCAATATATATTCATTTTTAATTCTAACAAATCTAACTCTTCAGTCTCCACTTTACTAATGAAAACTACATAAGGATAACTACTCAAGCAAATCGTCAGTGGTATTTTAAAATTACATATTTTGGGGTGAGGGGAAAAAGATTCTCTATATGCTAAGATCCCTGTCTTTGTAATAACTAAAAAAACTTTTAATGAATTTGCAAACAATGAGTCAGAGAAAATATTTTATATTATTATTTTACAGAAACATTCTAAAAATTGTAATTTCTTTATTCCTTCAAAACATACAAGTTTCTGATTTCCCATGTGACCTACTGAAACTGAAGTACAGAGATTCATTACAAAGCCAGTTATCTATTGCAAGACAGAAAAAAAATGTGAAAATTTTATAATTAGATTTACAAATGAGAAAGCATCTAAAGCCAGAAGTGGCTCACAGTGAGGCTAAGGCAAGAGGGCAGTCAGTCTGAGGAATAGCCTGTCTCAAAATTTTGAAAATATTTTATATCTTTCTATATTCAAATATCTTAAATATAGTAAAAAAGTATATGATTTCATATGATTTTTTAGAACTATATCAATTTGTAGTGAACGAAAGACTAAGTGAAAAGAAAAAATAGCAATACATCAAAGATGAATTGCTTCTTAACATGCTTTATTCCTCTACTAGCTGAATTAATTTCATCTTTTAAAAATGATGAATTTTGAATTTTGAATTTAAAAATCAATACTGCATGACTCATTATAAACAAAACATACCTGGTTCATTGGTCATAGCAGACCATGTCAAATACATTGTGTAGACTGTAATTACTGAAGACTGTAACAAGCCAGATCTTGGTTGGGATTCCTACGAGCAAAATATTAATGCTGATAAACATCTGACATCACTCTCATTTATAAAAACTTAGAAAGGGAAAGGCTTTATAAAAATGAGTGCTAAGAAGTGCATACTTGGATCTTGGGCAGTATAGACATTACAGAGGCACCAATGCAGAGGAGCATGTTGACACTGATAAATGCCTTATTTTCCGAACAACTGGCTGGGTGAGTATAGTAGACAAAAAATAGGATGACGGCAACTAAAGACAGCAGATAATTCAGAGCTGTGGCTGATAACAGAGCTGTGAAAGAAATACAATTGAATTTACAAACGTTACTTTATAAAATACAACTTATTTTTATAAAAGTATTAGGAAATCAGTATGGTACTTGTTTTTAAATAAATCTTATGATTTTTGTAACCAGTCAACTCAAGCTCATTATTATAATTATACTACCATAGAAATCTCCTTAGGTGTTCGGCGTCCTTTACATTTTTATATAGTGTTCCAGAGTTTTTGTTTTTTCTGCTTGTTGCTGATGAATTACACAACTCTGTTTCTAGTCTTCCCATTAAATTTTGTACTTTAATGTACTGGGAATTTGGATGCGAAATTACAGCTTTAAAGAAATGAACTCTGAGCATCATTTTGGCTATTCAAGGATCTTTTGGTTTCTTTTACTGGTTTCCAGATAAATTCCTGGTTCATAAGTCACAAAACTTTCAACAAGTTGCTAATATACAGTCACTCCGAAAATTAAATTGAAAACCTCTTCATAAGAAATTAAAATACAAAATTCCTAAGTGATTTCCTTGCAATCTATCCTGTTTTTATCAATGTTCACTATACTGAGGATACTTTATGAAATAAAAGCTTACCTGCATACCAACATCTTGAGTTCCCTTCTTCCATTTTTTCAACCCATGATTCATTCCACGAATGGGCAAAATCAATAAGTAAAACGAGTTGTATGAGGATGAAACAAAAGGCACCCGCCATGCCTACATAAAACCACACTAAAAGAAAAAAATAGTGTATTTAAGCAAAGGGATGACTGCTTTAGCTTTTATTATTTTCTTAATAATATGAATACAAAAAGGGATAACAAAATTGTATGCAAATTGATTTTGCAGCTGCAGATTAAAAAGAACAACCAAACAATAGTCACAACTTTAGATAGAAGTTACTTTGGTTTCTTACACAAAACAAAACATTACCATAGAATATTTTTAAAATTCTCACCAGTTGTAAAAGTGCCTTCTGGGATGAAGAAAGCGCCAATAATAATTGCAATTGCTGTAGCAAATTTAAAGAACCAGAATCTAAGACAGAAACAAATGTTAATAGGCACCCAAAAAAATAACTCAAATAGTAAATCTTTTCAGAAACACTTAAAAAACTTTGTTAACAGATCTACGCATATATTGAGGATGAAAAAGACCATTATATAGGCTATTGTAAAGATGATCTTAAGAAGAAGTGCCATCAATTCTTTTAAGAATACTGGCTTCAATTCAAAGGTATGAGTTGATAACATATGAATATATAAAGTATAATTTCATTCCACAAATGAATAGCTTTAATAAGTTATGACAAATGCCTACATCCAAAACAGTATTTTAAGACAGCCAATAACTCTAATGGAAAAAAAAAAACAAAACAAAACAAAAAAACTTGTTATAGAGCATTTTTTATTATTCTAGCACAACATTTTAATTTTCTGCCTTTGGCACAACATATCAAAAAATAAACAATAAAACATATTTTTAAAAAATTAATTCTTAAGAAGAAACAGATAAAATTATAACATTCAAATAAAATGCCAGATGAACTACTCACTATTACAGGAGATTGACTAAATTTGTACTTTTTTTCTTTCTAAGTTGTGGAAAACAATCATCTAGAAGATCAACACCAGTTCAGCAATACAGTTTCTTTTTGGCTGCCTTGTAGATCTAGGAAATTGAGAGTTCTATATAATAGGACTGGTTCACTAAAACCGAAAAAAAGAGGCAACAGCACTCTTCCTTTAATTACACATGTACACCCTCCTTTGAAATTAAAATATATAATCAGAGGTGATGCTGATAGCTGACCAGCACTACTATTTAATATCCAAAGCAAGAGTTTCTCTAGTAAAAGCAACCATTTTTAGAACTTTTTTATGGAAAAGATAATTCCTTTGTAATTTCTTTAGCTAAAATTCAAAATCCCTGGGAGGAAAAAGGCTATCTCAACTTTTCTCTCAAGTAACTAAAGCATACCCATTGTGGACCGCGGCTCTAGGATCACTGCTGCTTTTCACTTTGATCATTAGTAAAGAGAGGAGAAGATAGAACATGGCCAAACCAAAGCACAAGCGATACACAGCTTTGTAGCCAACCAGAATATTACAAGGAACAACACCCTTCTCATTCTCGCAGAACCCAGGAATCTAGAAAAACAAAACAAAATGGGCTTATGATCAGTACTTTTCATGAACTAAAAGTTCCACGTAAACTGTTAATTGCTTTAAAGGTCAGAAATACACACATACAAACACACACACCACACACACACACACACACACACACACACACACACACACACACATAAGCCTGCTGCATTTTAATCAGGTAAAATGGGGGAAGGGACAGGGAGGTTGGAGAAGTTAGGGCCAGGCATGGTGGCCCAGGAATTTAATCACATCACTTGGGGAGGCAGAAGCAGGCAGAGCTCTATGGTTTCAGTGTCAACCCGGTCTTGGTCTACACAAAGACCCAAGCCAGCTGGGGCTACACAGAGAAACTTTATCTCATTAAAAACAAATCAAAAGAAACAAAAAAGTTACAGCTTCCAGATAAGCACATAATAAACCAACAATGGCCAAGTATAAGATGGATGATTATTTTGAGCTACAGATTTAATTTCTTAAATATGTATTTGAGTGTTACATAAAAACAAAAATATACACTTACGGTGTGCCATAATTCTAAATTTTATAAAACTTGCATTCTACTGTGATATACTGAATTATATATATTTGTTATATGGGAAGATGTGAACAAAAGCTTAAAGAATTACATAAAATGTCACTTGTAAAATAGTAGAGAATAAAACAGTAGCTTTTTAAAGCCAATGCTATTTAAACAGATTTTGAGTATAGGACCTTTAAATGCTATTTGTGATCATAAGGATATTATTGACTTAACTTGAGCTGACAGTATATTCATATTTTAATTTAGAACCTTGAGAAGCAGCAGTGACCCATTTTAGAAAGGAACACTGGGTGGAGGTGGAAAGTTGAAGTACAGACCTTTTGCCAGGCAACAAGGGTGAGGCTTGCTGTCCATCAACATACACACAGGCTCACAGACACAAGGTCACATTGAAATCAGAATGTAAAATGGGAACTTTTGTGAGGGAAGTGGCAGCATTATTTAGAATGTCACAGATTATTTGTATGTACAAGAATAAACTGTTTCTCCCACGCCTAGCCCCAGGACTCCAAGGATACTCAGCTCTAGGTATTAGTTTTGTACTAGTTATATCCCAAGTCCCTACCTTCGTCTATCCTTGGTACTAACAGACCAAAAAGATTAAAAATTAGCAACTATTATTAATTAAGGCCTGAACTATGGGAGTGGAGAAGTCTAGTAATGCCCTGAGGGGAAGAACTGCCTTACTGCATTCTTTCCCCACCCACTAGAGATAACAGTTGCTAGGAAACTGGCCCATCCCCCCCATAGGGAGGGACACCAGGTCATTATGGTCTGGGGACCTTCCTATAGCCAATCAATTCAAAATGTAGCATTTGACCAATAGATGCTTGCCAGGCAGGAATTGCCCCTGCCTTGGGCATGCTGGGAGGGACCAGAATCTATAAATCACCCAACTAACCTGGGCGCAGGGCGCTAGGCTCCCACTGCTTCGGCCGTGGGTGTGCGTGGGCCCAAGCTGCAGCTTGTAATTTACAATAGAAAGAACCTCACGTATTTACAGCGGAGTCTGTTTATTCCCGGTCTTTTGGGGTTCCTGAACTGGGCAGAACAGTACATTCACAGCCTTTCCCAGTTCTGTCTACAGCCTGCCTGCTTGTGGTTTTTCTCGTTGCTTCTTTGTTTGCTGACCTTCCTCTTTGTTAATTCCCTTTAGAGCTGTTGATCAGGTTCTAGCACTGCTAACCCTGAGTCAGTTTCTACAGCATATGCTGCCAGGATTTTAATTTCCAGCTCAAAACACGTACTTAACTCTGTCTGAATTAGTGTTTTCTATTTCCTCATAGGTGTATAGTGTTTGGCTTCCATAGCATCTGCCCAAAATTCATATTTCAAATTGATGTATGAATGTGCATATGCCATAGTACACTTATGGAGATCAGGGACAACTCAGGGGAGTTAGCTGTTTTTCTCTTTCCACTGTGTAGGTTCCTGGAAAAGAACTCAGTTCATCTAGCTTGGTAGCAACTGCTTTTAGCCATGCCACAAGCCATTTTACTCGCCCTAAAATTCCTATCTTGTAACTCTAATCCTTAAGAGAACAAGATTAGGAAGGGAAAATGACTAGATCATCAAGATTCATCCTTCATAAAAGGATCTGTGCCTTAATATAAAAAGGCATGATACAGCTTTCTACTCCTTTCCTTACAATGTGAAAATGCAGGACTTCAAACAAAACAAGATTCTCACTGGAACTAAACCTTGGCACCCTAGTCACAAATCTCCCACATCTAAACACGTAGAAAATAAACTCCTGTTAATCCACATTTGTAATATTACTGTTTGGCAGCCTGAACTACATGAACACAGGCATGTGCTATAGTAACATTTTAATATTCATTTTTGATTATGTGTCTCTGTGGAGATGTGTACCCATGGGCCCTGAAGAGGGCTGTCAGATCTCTAGGAACTGAAGTTCAAACAGCTGTGAGGCATCCAACAGTTCTTATCCTTAAGAAAAGCAGCAAGCACTGAACCACCTCTCCAGCCCTGTTTCTGGGTTTAAAGCATGCACTTTCCCCCAAGTTTCCAAGAACTGCAACTGGACTGTTAAGATTCTAGCACTACCAGTATGTGAATGTCAGTCATGACATCCACAAAATCCACTTGAGGCTTATTCCCTATTCCCTCTTGATCCCATTATTGCAACAACCTCTATACCACTAAGTGTTTGACTTCTATCTTCACCATGGTCATCTTGAGGCATAATTTGCTCAACACCTTTCCCAGTCATTACTGCTTCATTTTTAGGTACTGTACTTAAATTTTACTTATTTTTAAAATGTCTCCTTTGCAGGAACAAAACAAAAACTCATAATGTCGGCTTTCCTGTCACAGTGACATTACCAAGGTACAATTTCATTACTTTTTCATTGATATACATTAGTTATACCTAATGGCTTTAATTGTGACATTTTTGTACATACATATACTGTACTCTGATCATATTCACCCTGATCATCATTCTGATCATATTTTCTTGTCTCTCTCCCACTCCTGCTGATCTCTTGTCATTTTATTTGTCCTGTTTCTACTTTCATGTATTTTTTTTTTCCCTGTGCCCCAATGACAGTTTTGTTAGCATTGCTTCCAGAGAGGTGAAGGGTTTTTTCCAGGACCACAGCCACCTTAGCACTAGCTACACCACTGAAGAAAATGTTTCCCTCCTCCAGCTACTAACTACATGTAAGTTCCAGAGCTAGAGAGCCTGTGAGTCCTCTCTTCTTCCACCACTGGATGTTAGTGGGTCCAATCCTGTGCACATCACAGATGCTGTGAGTTTGCAAGGACTCAAGTATGCCTCAAAGCTAGGACTTGACACCATTCTTCATCTTCCTCTGGCTCCTACATACTTTTTTGTCCCTACTTATATAAGCACTGTTCCCTGAGCCTTGAAGCAGTGACACAGATTTCCTATTTCTGACTGAACATTCAACTGTCAACTTATTTTCAACACTAATCAGTTTATAAGCCTCTGCAGGTACTGCTGTCCACTATAAAAAATAAGCTTCTCTGACCAAAGACAACAATACCACTGATCTATGCATTTGAAGAACAGTTACTGAGAAGGCTATCTGATGGGTAGTCCATTGGGTAGACAGCAGCATGAGCATCTCCAGTAGGCCCAACCCTCCAGTTGAGGCTTACAGTAAAGGATTTTACTAAACACTCCTTCCAATGCAGCAGGTCTCTCTAACAGGCATGCCGCTACTGCACCTTTGGACATATCTTGCCTGGCTAGTTGGTACTGTTATTTGCAGAGTCAACAACTGAGTACGACTACTGGCCACAATTCTTTCCCAACAGCCTGTATAGCACCCATTGGTATGATGAGGGCTTGCTGGCAGAAAGGAAGTGTCCTGACCACTTCCTGATTTCTTTATGTACTGAGACTAAAGCAAGTGGTGTCTTTAGTAATGGAATCTACTATCTAGTTCTGGTGGGAAACCAACAATCGAAGAAATTGCCCAGGAACATATTCTGTGCTGCTATCATAAAACAGAACAAGCTACCTCATATTCTTTGTCTTTCCTGCAAGAATTATTACCTACTAAAACTGGGGTTACACATATTGCAGTATTTTTATATTGCTTTACTTTTAGTACCCAAAAGTTACGTATATTCTACAATTTTAGTCCATCAATAGTAAAACAAAAGACTGACCTTATTCAGTTGTTCTTCCATTCCTGGTATTAACATTACACAAGCTACACACACTCCAACAAGCAAGAAAAGTGCGTAGATCAATCTAGTCACAGTGGAGTTGTTTCCACTAGGGCAGCACCGGCACAGCAAACATGGGGCACTGCCACACAGACATGGGATCTGGGGAAAAACATCACAGATCAGCAGAGTTTAAAATGGTTCAACAAACTATTTGTTGTAAACAATGGCAATTCAAAAAGATTAAAAGTATTTGGTTTGCATACATTATCTACACTCTCTAAATCAGAAAGGCAAAGATGGAACAAAATCAAACAATACATAGCCGTTGTCCTCTAAACTAAGTAGAAGTATTTAAAAACACGGGAAATGGCCAATAGCAACCAAGATTTCGCTAAGATTCCTAAACAGCCACTTGTCCCAGAGAAGAGTACAGCCAAGAAATTCTGTGAAGTCTCAGCCCAAGAAAATAGAGGGAGTGGGGTGTTGGGAGGGGAGGGTATCATTCAATATAGCACCAAGGTGAATTGTTATTATTTTTTTCCTCTTCCAACTTTTTATTAATAGCAATAACACTGCAACAAAAGGCTCAGTGAACAACTAGTTAACAAGTAGCTGGCTCTCTCTAATGAACTCTAGGGATGAGTACCCTCTGGACCAGGAGAGCCTGACGTGTACAGTGTGCAGGGTTAAGAAAGAATATCTCAAAAAGGCAAAGTTTAAGTATTCTCACAAGGGTTGGCCGTAGCCTGGACTGAACTCTACCAGTCACAGTCAGATGACCAGGGTATTCCATCTCTAGAGAAAAGAATCACAAACATTCCAGGGAAAGAGCATTGTGATTGACAAATTTCTATAGCCTATATACCTGGTAAGACATACACAAAGCAGCTTGCACATTATGCTTCAGGAACAGAAACTGATGGTATAACAATTATGCAAAAATACATGTACAAAAGAATTCTGTGACTACAACATAAAAAATAAGACATTTTAAATAAAAATACTCTGGTAAAAGGAAGTATCCAGCCGGTGCACTTCATTTGAACTTTAGAAACAAAAGTCAGAGAGGGAGGGAGGGATTAGGAAGAGTGGAAGGAGAGAGATGAAGGGAAGATGACACAGAGAAGATAGCTCAGAATTAAATGAGAAAATAACAGATCAGGATGAGAGTTGAATCACAGGAATAATAAAAGAAAAGAAAAGAAAAGAAAAGAAAAGAAAAGAAAAGAAAAGAAAAGAAAAGAAAAGAAAAGAAAAGAAAAGAAAAGAAAAGAAAGGAAAGGAAAAGAAAAGGAAAAACCAAAAGAACTAACAAGCATGCTGTCCAGGAACAAAAAAATAATGCTGATAACAAAATTATGGATAGAAAATAAATCCTTGGGATAACTACCTAAATGCAGGGCATGTTGAAGTAACAGTGCCCATCTTTCTAGCTGGGAGAATGCTCAGCCCAGCTGTCCATCTGACTTGAGACACAGATGGGGATTCAGCGAAGGCAAGGCAGAAAGCATTCCTAGGCAGAATCCCAGCTCTGTCTGTTGGACACATTCACCTGAATGAATTAGTCTGGGAGGTGTTGGGTAGAAAAATACTACTACTGGGATTACTTGGCATAAAACAGGTTGGACTCTTTTGTCTATTAGAAAGCAAGCATCAAAGACATAAAAATCTTTAAGTAATTCACCTATGTCCATTAATACAGCCCAAGACTAGTCTTTACGCATGGAAGTATATCCAGCCTTCATCAAGGTCAAACCTATACCTGGCATCTAACAGAACTGGAAGACATGCAGACAAACAGGAAACACAACCCATGAGGACCAAGCAGTTAGTCAAAACCAATCTGGAAGGTAACATTTACAATTATTGCTTAATATTACTGTTAACTACACAGTCCAGATAGTAGAGGAAGACTTGGGCGTGGAAAGTAAGGATATGAAAGAGAATTTAAAAGAAACCTACTAAATTTTTAGAGATTTAAAAAAAAAAGTATGTCAATTTAATACCAATAAAAGAGAAAAGACTACCAACTGAAACAAGGAGAGCATGGGTTTTTACATTTATATTAGGATCTTCACCAGCACAGGAGACAGGAATAACAGACGTAAAACTCACAGTGAAAGACAAACTGAAGAGTGAAATAAGGGTCTTGAAAGATAACCAGCAAATACTGACAACATACTAACTACATAAAAGCATACTTTATATGCAGAGGGTGACACTTCACCACACACTGCTCCCCAAATATCCTACCCAGATAGGCTGCAAGTTTTCTCTGGGTGCACCAACAGCCTCAGATAAGTGTTCTGCTGCAAATGGCAAAAACACATCATTGCATTATAAATTCAAAGCTGACAAGTCCTACCAAACTGTTCTGTGACTCATAGCAACCAAGAATGTCTCCAAAAGAAAAAAAAAAATATCACGTTATAAAATAAAAATGAAGCAAATGTTTGCATGAAATCAGTACTGGCAATTCCTACTTCCTTCTTCTAAATTACTTAACTAACATTACCTATCTGGGATAAAGAAATGATTGTGATTGTTTACAAGGTCTAGTTATTAAAACAAAATCAATTCTATTCAGTACACCAATGCTGACCTTATGTTGGGGAAAGGTCTGTTAATTAGCGTCTGGCAGTATTTATAGACCTAGGATGAATGAAAAGGTTCAGAGATGCTCACATGTAATTTTTCTTTCATACATTTTTGTAGTTCAGCAATAATGCTGTGTAATTATTTTATGAACAAGAAGTGTTACTAATTTTGACTAAGTATGCAAAAAAATTGTTCAAAAAGCAAACTTTTAAATTATGGGTCACTTGACATAATTTTACAATTTCAATCGTAGGAATATTTGGATAAATTTTCTCTTTCAAAGCTTCCAAGTTAGTGAGCATATTAACTTGGGAATGTGGAAAAGATGGATTTGTATAGTATAATGCAAAATCTACTTATAGATATGCACTAGGATTCAATAATTAAAAGAAGCACACAGAACTAAAGAGATGATCCAATTAGCACATCATGAATCCTCAGATCTGTCACAGGATGGAGAATCATGATGAAAAACTTGGCTGTCTAGCTTCTGTCATATCTAATCCTGCATACTGTTGCTACCTTTTTAGTGCATCTAGGTACTAATAAAATGATAATGGCAAGGCAGTGTCAATCTCATCAAAGACATTCATTCACTGAACAAAAATGGAAATCTACGTTGTAAAAGTAGTGATGTAACTTATCCCATAGTGTTTGCCAAAGCTATTTTGATTTAAAACAAACATATACAAAATTTTCTGTAAAACTGAAAGAAGGAAAAAAACACAACAAACAAACAAAAACACTGAAACACCGAACTTGTGACCCAAAAGGCGCTTAAAACTAAATAGGAAAAGAATTGGAGAATACATATTCTTCAAACTCTATGATCGCAGTAGAGCTGCTGTGTACCCACATCACAACCAAGCTAACTCTAGTATTACAAATTAAATAACGCAACATCTTATCAAAAAACAAGGAAAAGTTTTTTATAACTAATTTTTATGTGTGTACATGTGTCTGTGTGACCATGGGAGCCAATGTCAGCAGAGAGCAGAAGAGAGCATCAAGATTCCCTGGAGCTGGAGATACGGGCAGTTATGAACTGCCCAATGGGGGTGCGGGGGACTAACATTTAGAATCTAGCAAGAGCAACAATCACAGCTAACAGCTGAATCATCTCTCCAGGCCTTTATTCACTTATTTTTATTACACTAAATGTCACCTTCTGTATAAAAGGGTCAACAGACTCAATTAGGCTTTCTTAATCTCTGAGGTCAAGTTTTCATATCCATCTTTGATGAAAACTAGGCATTTATAATTCAAGCCGTACCAAAACATTTTTAAACTTACAGGCATGCAAATTAGCCAGTACGTAGGTTAATGTATTTGCTATGGAATCATTTGGTTAGTCAGAAAATTGTTGCGGGTTAAACTTGGAAAGCATAATATTCAAACTCCGAGTGATATTTGAATCCAAATACCTCCCCCAAAGCAATTAAGCTCTTTATTATAAACTTCACTGCTAATTATTTTGTCTACTGGGGGATGGGGTCGTCTGGGCCATCCGGGTAAAGGAATCTTGCAACTATTCTAAAGATGGTTCCATTGTCTAATGAAAACGCAACCTACCCTTACCACAGCATCGACAAGCGGGTTGCTCGCCCATGTATTACGTAAAATAAATAAATAAATAAAAAATCAGTGCCGCAGACCTGACCAGCCTTTCCGGAAACATAAATTTGCAAGTACAAGAATCCAGGCCACCAAAGCCGAAGGGGGCCAACAGTATGAGAATTTAGAGTATTCTATCTCGATAAGGAGACTGCTACACTGACACCCAGCTGTTAGGCTGTCCCGGATAACCGGGGCCCAATTCCCTGGAGGCTGCGAGTCAGAACAAAGAGGCCTCGGGAAATGACAGTGCGGCAGTGCGAGGGCGCCGGGCTCGCGGTGAAGGGAGAGGCGCGGCGGCCACGGGAGGAGGGAGCCGGGCCGCACCCGGCCGAGGATCACCCCACAGGGAAAGCTATCTGCTCGGGCGGCTCCCCGTCCGCTTGGCCTCGCCCTCGCGCGGGCCGGAGGAGGACGGATAAACCGGGCCGCGACCCCGCGCCGCCTTACCCAGCTCGCCACGGAGCACAGCCCCAGCACGCTCCCCATCGCCGCCGCGTCGCCGGCCCAGAGCGTGCAGACAAGATGGAGACAGCTTCTTCCCTGCTTTTTTTCCCCCCCGATTTCTTCTGAGCTTATTTACGGTCTGGGAGGCACTTCCGGCGCAGATGCACCCGCCCCTCAGCTCTGCGTGCGTCACTTCCTCTCAGACCTGGGCGGGGCGATGGCTGCCTGGGGTTCGCAGTTCTGGGGCAGGGGACGCCAGGCGTCATGTCCAGCAGTGTGACCTCCGGGTACCACTGCTAGAAAGTAGATTTCTGGCTTTGCGCAGTGGCCTTGCTTGGCTGTGTACGGAAGACCCTTGCTTACCATTTACTTGAATTTGGACGTTAGAAGGGCTCAGTTCTGTTACTCCTTTTTGAGACACTGGTTCCCCTTGGGATTTAGCCATCTCTTTTCCTGCGGTTTTGTGGGTTTGGGTTTTGTTTTCTATTCACACACACAGTTTGTGCCTGCATCCACGATAAGGAACGAGTTTGGAAGTCGATCACCAGTGGGAAACATTGTAGTTAGAAGAATCCTGAAAATAGAGGCCAAAATTTCAAGACAAATAACTATCACATAGAAATAATTACTTTGTACCTTCTTTGGTTGGTAATGTTATCTCTATACTCTCCTTTACCCACGTTTTAAACTCTGTTTTTAAGTTTTGAAGACATCAGTTGTTATGGTTAGTATTGTGGATTTGTCAGAATCAAGGATCAGCTCTGCTCACTCTTGTGGGGATTACCCTGATTACTTCAAGATATGGGCCTTAAATGTGAACAGACCCATGGCAGGTTATAACCTGGAGCTATGTGCTAGCATAAGTCCTTCTCCCTAAGCTTCTTTAGTCAAAGCATTTTATTGCTGCAATAGCAACAACAATAACAAAAGGAGGAAGGAAGGAAGGAAGGAAGGAAGGAAGGAAGGAAGGAAGGAAGGAAGGAAGGAAGGAAGGGAGGGAGGGAGGAAGGAAGGGAGGAAAGAAGGAAGGAAACCATTAGTAAGATACTCGATTTCCAAAAATCTTAGGGTCTTTACTAGTACCATATAGTACGAACATTAACTGTATAGACTTGTGAGGGTTAAATAAAAATATGACACATCTCCTTACCAATGCTAGCACCACATACAGGAGTCCATAGATAATCAATACAAGCTATTTTCCTTAATTTCTTCCCTATCAAAACTACTAATTTCTGTGATTTGCTGACCTAGGGTAGACACAACCTCCACCCAAAGGGTTGTGTCAGTTTCTCAGGTGATAGCTCTATGTTCCTTTACTTTTACTTGTCTGTATCTGTGGAGGGAATATTATCAGCTAACATCCAAAATACCCAGATATCATTTAATATTCCTTGCTCATGTAGAGCTCTCCTACTCAGGCTCAGATTCTGGTCTCAGACATGTCTTTTCTTCATGTGTGTAATAATTCATGTGAGAACATTGCTCACATATATCCAATGATAGAGTGATATGTTAATTATAGAAAGCATGAGTTCTATGAACAAGTTTGTTCTGTACAATCGCTGGCAAGACATTTTGGTGAATCTGCAGTTATGTGGTGCCAGGAGAGAGGTGACAGGGGGAGAGGGGTTTCATGAGATTATAGATAATTTTTTCAAGAAAGACGTCTACACACACAAAATGATTCATATGGCTGTCTAGTAAGCACTTAAGTGTGCCTTATCAAAGAGGAAATGATGTATTACTCAAAAACTAAACTTCTGCAAAATATGAAATATTTTAGAAGCATAGTAAGGTGGAAATATCACGACCCTTATCTCTTTCTAGCCTCAAGAAAGAAAAACATTGTATTTATTCCCCCGTCTCATGTGAGAAATGAAGACAGCTATTATTAAGGTACAGCCAACAATCTACACTGTGATAGCTTCAGTTTGCTGCCTTCACATTGCAAATTGTTCTTAAAATTAAGTTTCTCAATGCATTCTTTCTCCACTGGTGTCTGTGTTGCCTTACCGTTAGTTAACATGAACTTATCACATTTAATATGGAAAAAAAAATGAAACCTTTCATGCTTAAATTAATATGTTCTTGATCAGAGATAAAGCTGAGGACTTGTCTGTGTTTATTGAACATTGGGATATACTCTTCTAGATAAATTTCCTTTTCAAGTCTTTAAAAAATTATAGTTGGACCAGTAATCTATTTTTATTGATTTGTGGATGACCTATTATAATTTTTGAATATGAATCTTTTAGAATTCATTTAGAATGAGGTGAGAAACTGTCATTCCTTGGCCTGGGCTTATTTTTTTTCACTTTTAAAATATTATTCTTCAATGACTACTGTGACACAATTTTAAAGTTATTTTTAAGTATCATAGTTACCAAATTTGTCCTTTGAGTTATATGACTTTCTTTACTGTTCAAAACTTCTTTCCTGTGGGGAATGTCAAGATAAGCCTTTTGGAAGCCCATGAGGAATGGCAAGGGAAGTGTCAGTGCCTCCTAAGGCTCCTCAGAAGGTCCTGAGCCACTGCAGACAGTGTTGATCCACTAGGAACTCCTGTTTTATTCTTGGTTGTGAGCCTAGCCTTTAACAGCCGAGCCATCTCTCCAGCCCAAGTTCCATTTTATATGGAAATTATAAATTATACTGAATAAGCCCATTATTCTCAATTTTTAAAAAGTCAAAAACATTTAAAAAAAAAAAAGTAAAAAAACATCTTGGATTCGAATAATCAATTGCCCTGATTTGAATAAATCTGAGAATAGTTTCTTCTGCGATTGACTCAGTGGTTACAAGCACCTCTTGCTCCTGCAGGGGATCTGGGTTTGATGCCCAGTACCTGCATAGTAGCTTGCAGCTACCTACAAGTCCAGATCCAGGGGATCTAGTGTCCTTGTCTGACCTCCACAGGCATCAAGCACACATGTGGTACACATATGTACATGCAGGTAAAATGAATAAATCTTTTTTTAAAAAAATGAATAAATATTTTTTTAAAAAAAAATCTAAGAATAGCTTTGGGTTTTATAATGTAAGGAGAGAAAGGACATCTGAGTATTTTATGGTATTCTTCCTACAGTAATTCAATTCCAAATTTGAAAATTTAAAATTTAAGCAAATATTTGAACAGCTAATCAAATTCCCTATAAGAATAATCCAGAGATTAGATTGTAATAACCCATAGGGGTCAGTATTAACTTAGAATTGGAAGATATCACATTGTGATATACTTTTTTTGACTTAGTTTATATAATTAAAAACAAACAAACAAACAAACCTCAAAAACAATAATATCTTCTCAAGGCCACAAAAACTCTTTTTCATTTTATCTTAATGTTAAAAAAGCAAATGAACAATATTTCTTTCACACAGGTTTTCTTTTGCTGAAAACTAAGCCATTGTGTTCTATGACGGCTAGATATTTTTTGCACCAGTGAAGTAAACGTTACAAAAATTAATTGACTTCAGGAAAGCCTTCCATGAATTCAAGGAAAGAGTTCATACTCAGGAAATAATGACACAGGCAGCGATGCAAACATGTTTCTAATGCTGAATATGCTATTTTTGAAGAATTAAAAAGAGAGAGTGTGTGTGTGTGTGTGTGTGTGGCTACTTAAAACATACTAAGGAAGTTTCCAAAGGAATTTACACCATATTGGCAGTCAGGTGATGTATTTATGATTTCCTGCCGGTAAGATGGCTCAGCAGGGAAAGGCTCTTACCACGATGGCCTCCTTAACTACGTGATGGAAGGAGAGAGTCAACTACTGCACGTTGTCTTCTGACTCCATGTGCTAATGGTACATGTACCCAGACACATGCAGACATGCATCCGAGAAAATTAATAAATGGAATTAAACATTTTAAAAGATTCATGGACACTGCCTAGAGCTCTACAAAATATAAGAGGAATCATGCTGAAATTTTTTATGTTGAAATAAAACATGCATTAAACAAAAAAAAAATGTTATATTACAGGAAAAAACTATTCTTGCTATTCAAGCTTCTGAATTCCTATGAAATATGGCATAAGAATGTCTAAGTTACCACTTTCCCATTCGTAACTTGACATTTCTAATATTCATATGAAAAGGTACAAAAGGAACAGGTAAAATTATTTTTGATAGCCCACTAAGTAAACATAGTGATGATTCTCATGCCCTTTTTCATACCTCATTCTGTTGCCTGCGAGTTCTATGTCATACAGCACTTCCACAAATTCATGCATAAAGCCCTTTGGTGTGAGTACTCAAAGACTGGTCACTCTTTTTCCTCGTTTATTTTTCCTATTAGCTCTTCACGCAGAAACAGATTGATTAAACTTCTTAGTCAGGGAAGTTTTGAGCACACAGTGAAATCTTCAGTGTCTTCGCTTAGGTTCTCGTCCACTCAAGGTTGACGATGTACTCTTCAACAGATCCAGTTTTCTGAGTTCCATGCCTTTCAACGTTAAAATGGACTCGTAATACCTTATTGAGGTATATATGTAAAATAATTGAAAGCACGCACAAGGATTCCTGTCTGACCCAAAGTAAACGCTTTCCCAATGGTAGCTTCTACTTTATCTACATGCCAGGGGTTTCACTTTCTTTGTCCCCTTATTCTCAAATCCCATCTAGTTTTATTCATCTTTCAAACTGTATATCCAGCAGTCATCCAAATACTTCCATGTAGTTTTCTTTTCTAGGATAAATTGGTTGTAGAATGGGATAGGAATTTCAGATGATGCTAAGTGATACGGCTATAAGACAATCCAATTTCTACTTTACGTTAATTTAAGAAAGTACAACTCCTATGTATTGTTTGGTAAAAGAATCAACCTCCTCCCTCTCCATACCTCTCTCTTCTTTGCTGTGTGCTTTTCTCTCTTCCTCTCTTCGTTCTCTGTCCCTTCCTTCCTTCTTTTTTTTTCCTTCCTTCCCTCCTTTTAGTTTTCTTTATCTCATATCTTATCTTAACCTTTTCTTACTAAAGACCCCATACTCAAAAAGACAGAAATATGTACAGCTGAACTTATGCCAGTGGAAAAAAATAGCTGCAGAATAACTAACTACAACATTATAATTTGAGAGACAGAAAATGGACTCTTTCCCCACAAACAACTTTCCTCCTCAAGGAGGAAAGCCTTGACCTCCTTTTCCTCATAT